TGAACATTTGTTTAGCATGAACATTTGTTTAGCAAGAACATTTGTTTAGCATGAACATTTGTTTAGCATGAACATTTGTTAAGCATGAACATTTGTTTAGCATGAACATTTGTTTAGCATGAACATTTGTTTAGCTTGAACATTTGTTTAGTTATGAACATTTGTTTAGTATGAACATTTGTTTAGCATGAACATTTGTTTAGTATGAACATTTGTTTAGCATGAACATTTGTTTAGTATGAACATTTGTTTAGCATGAACATTTGTTTAGCTTGAACATTGTCTAATCTAGGAGCCCGGCTCGCGAGTGTGAGAAGTGTTTGTTAAAGTGCTGTCTCAGCCGCTCACATCCGGGTTCTTATCGAGGTCACCATCAGTCCCATCATTTAAGAAAGTCATCTCTTCAGGTCGCCATTTTCTCCTGGGTTCACAGGCACGTGATGTGCTGCAGTCAATGGACGCACTGTGGCCAGATGAGAATTAAACCTTTGTCAGCTTATCGACTTCTCTCCCTTGGCTGACCGGAAACACAGTTTTATTATGTGATAGGCTCACGTTTTAAACTGCCAGCACTTGGATAAACACATCTTACCGCTAGTTTACGTTGATAACACTGATGTACATGTAGAGTTTTTGTTGCTGTTATATTTACCCCCTCTCAAAGTTAGGGTAACCCTCACAACAACGTCTCCCCCCACACGCACAATAGTGGGGGTTCATGAACAGCGCCCCAGCGTTGTACCCCCCCCCCCCCACCCCCTTACGTCAAATTCCCGCCAGATTTTGTGGAAAAAAATTTCAATTGCAGCTAAGGTAAACGAATTTTTCAAACGCTTTCTTCTACCGCTGGTAATCTCCCCCTGTCAGCCGTCCCCATGAAGCAACACAAGCAAACGCCTCTGTTTGCTAGTAGCGTTCAGCGTCTGCTTGCGTCGAGAAGTGAAGTTTGCACAGAACTTAAAATAACTTTACTCTCCAGCCTTTTCTCTTCCCTGGCCCCACATAATGAGTCTAGTCATAGCCAGATTGGGCATCTCACCATTCCCGGCAAGCCGAGGTCTTCACGGCCAGTGGAGGACGATAATTAGCCGATTGTTTTAGGCCGGAATGACGGAAAGTACTGAGATGTTTTAGGCCGGAATGACGGAAAGTATCGAGAGATGTTTTAAGCCTAAAAATTTTGGGTACTCTGTTGTGTACTTTTGTCTACCAGTAGGTAGGTGCTCTACCCTACCTGTACTTTTGTCTATCAGTAGGTAGGTGCTCTAGCCTACCTGTACTTTTGTCTACCAGTAGCTAGGTGCTCTAGCCTACCTGTACTTTTGTCTACCTGTAGGTAGGTGCTCTAGCCTACCTGTACTTTTGTCTACCTGTAGGTAGGTGCTCTAGCCTACCTGTACTTTTGTCTACCAGTAGGTAGGTGCTCTAGCCTACCTGTACTTTTGTCTACCTGTAGGTAGGTGCTCTAGCCTACCTGTACTTTTGTCTATCAGTAGGTAGGTGCTCTAGCCTACCTGTACTTTTGTCTACCAGTAGGTAGGTGCTCTAGCCTACCTGTACTTTTGTCTACCAGTAGGTAGGTGCTCTAGCCTACCTGTACTTTTGTCTACCAGTAGCTAGGTGCTCTAGCCTACCTGTACTTTTGTCTACCTGTAGGTAGGTGCTCTAGCCTACCTGTACTTTTGTCTACCTGTAGGTAGGTGCTCTAGCCTACCTGTACTTTTGTCTACCAGTAGGTAGGTGCTCTAGCCTACCTGTACTTTTGTCTACCTGTAGGTAGGTGCTCTAGCCTACCTGTACTTTTGTCTACCTGTAGGTAGGTGCTCTAGCCTACCTGTACTTTTGTCTACCTGTAAAATGAAACAGGTAAGCCAACTTGTTTGCTGTAATGCATGAAGAGTGCATGTTCTGTTTGACTTGCGCATCCCTCACCATTCCCGAGGTTAAAGATTATTTAAAAACCTGGAGCAAATAGAAACTTGATTGTCGTACTTCTTAACGAAACAAAGAAGATAAGTTACAAAAGTTTGTCTGGGTCAGGGAATACCAAGGGCTTAGAGACGAACGTGGCTATTCATTGTCCGGTCTAAACATCCCTTGTGTCCACTCTAGTTGACACACAGTCAACTACATAGTCAACCGTCATAGTCAACTACACAGTCAACTACACAGTCAACTACACAGTCAACCGTCAGTCAACTACATAGTCAATTACACCGTCAACTACACAGTCAATTACACAGTCAACCGTCAGTCAACTACATAGTCAATTACACAGTCAACTACACAGTCAATTACACAGTCAACTACACAGTCAACCGTCAGTCAACTACACAGTCAATTACACAGTCAACTACACAGTCAACCGTCAGTCAACCGACACAGTCAACTACACAGTCAACCGTCAGTCAACTACATAGTCAATTACACAGTCAACTACACAGTCAATTACACAGTCAACTACACAGTCAACCGTCAGTCAACTACACAGTCAATTACACAGTCAACTACACAGTCAACCGTCAGTCAACCGACACAGTCAACTACACAGTCATCCGGAAGACAACATAGTCAAAACCAAAAGACAGTCACGTTACTAAGGTAGTGTAAAGGAAAAATAAATGTGACGATATCGATGAATAATTGAGAGCAATAAACATGAATAAAAAATAGTTTTCATTGAGAAAAAAAAACCTATCACGTGACCATTAAGAATGTTATTACATAATTAGGTTCTTATCTCTGGTGCGATTACCACCCTCTTGAGGCAAACTGTCTCCTATCTGTAGGGGGGGGGGGGGGCGTGTCTTCGAGGGTCGGGGAGATGTGTCTTCGAGGGTGGGGGAGGGTGGTGTTCTCAAGTGGTCTCACGTCAAGAAGTATCAAGCCGTGTCCTCTGTGGGTGGGGGGGGGGGGTCTAACATCAAGCCGTGTCCCTTTATGGGGGGGGGGGGGTCTCACATCAAGCCGCTCTGAGATCGATGCCGAACGGCCATTGTTTTCTTTGCTCGCTAAGGCGTCAAGTGTTCGGCGTTCAGGTGATATTGCTGGCTCAGATCTGCCGGTCTGGGAGGGGCTTACGGGGAGGGGAGTCGTGGGCCTATTAGTGCCTCTCTAATCGGCTCTGGTGTGCCCCCCCCCCCACGACACAAGTTATATGTCAAGCTATCGGCTCTGGTGTGCCCCCCACCCCACGACACAAGTTATATGTCAAGCTATCGGCTCTGGTGTGCCCCCCCCCCCACGACACAAGTTATATGTCAAGCTATCGGCTCTGGTGTGCCCCCCCCCCCCACGACACAAGTTATATGTCAAGCTATCGGCTCTGGTGTGCCCCCCCCCCCCCCACGACACAAGTTATATGTCAAGCTACAGTCCCCAGTACTGGTGTGCCCCCCCCCACGACACAAGTTATATGTCAAGCTACAGTCCCCAGTACTGGTGTGCCCCCCCCCCCCCCACGACACAAGTTATATGTCAAGCTACAGTCCCCAGTACTGGTGTGTGCCCCCCCCCCCCACGACACAAGTTATATGTCAAGCTACAGTCCCCAGTACTGGTGTGCCCCCCCCCCCCCCCACGACACAAGTTATATGTCAAGCTACAGTCCCCAGTACTGGTGTGCCCCCCCCCCCCACGACACAAGTTATATGTCAAGCTACAGTCCCCAGTACTGGTGTGCCCCCCCCCCACGACACAAGTTATATGTCAAGCTACAGTCCCCAGTACTGGTGTGCCCCCCCCCCCCCACGACACAAGTTATATGTCAAGCTACAGTCCCCAGTACTGGTGTGCCCCCCCCCCCCCCACGACACAAGTTATATGTCAAGCTACAGTCCCCAGTACTGGTGTGCCCCCCCCCCCACGACACAAGTTATATGTCAAGCTACAGTCCCCAGTACTGGTGTGCCCCCCCCCCACGACACAAGTTATATGTCAAGCTACAGTCCCCAGTACTGGTGTGCCCCCCCCCCCCCCCCACGACACAAGTTATATGTCAAGCTACAGTCCCCAGTACTGGTGTGCCCCCCCCCCACGACACAAGTTATATGTCAAGCTACAGTCCCCAGTACTGGTGTGCCCCCCCCCCACGACACAAGTTATATGTCAAGCTACAGTCCCCAGTACTGGTGTGCCCCCCCCCCCCCCCACGACACAAGTTATATGTCAAGCTACAGTCCCCTGTCTTTCTAGAGCGGGCTTGTTCGTGAACAAATAGACTTGGTTTCAGTTCATTCAATCCGGCCCAACGGCCGTGAACGGGCTCTGTTACAGGTAGGTGGAGGAGCCAGGTAACCCGATCCACGGGGCGGTGTTACCTTAAGAAACACCCAGCTATGGCCGGCATAACACTCTGACAGCTGGATGGCTTGTTAAAGCAAATCAAATGGTCAGTAGCCTTACAGCCAGATGACCTCTAGTCGTGTTGCCAAATGACCATTTAACCACAGGCTAATTACCTTTACTCGTATAGCCAATGTCCACTAAACTTAACAGCCAAAATGGCCACTAGCCTACAACTAAGTAAATGACCACTAGCCTACAACTAAGTAAATGACCACTAGCCTACAACTAAGTAAATGACCACTAGCCTACAACTAAGTAAATGACCACTAGCCTACAACTAAGTAAATGACCACTAGCCTACAACTAAATAAATGACCACTAGCCTACAACTAAATAAATGACCACTAGCCTACAGCCAAATGACCACTACAGCCAAATGACCTATGGTGATAGAGTGACCAATTGTAACTACATGGACGGGTCACTGAACCGTGTCGATGCGCTATCCCATTCCAAATGAAATAAATTTTTAATCAGCGATTATACCCCCTCCCCCTACTTCTCCTCCCCCCTCCCCCAACCATAGCGGCGATGACAATACGGCGATGAACGGCCAGTGTCAAGTGTCCGCCACACGCTCCCCTCTCACCGCTCGGCCCGCGACTGTCCCGACTCGCTAGTCGCTACTAAACATCACGTGCTTTAACCTTAATCAAAACAAAAGGGGGGAAAGTGCTAAAATATAACGGCGACAAACTTAGTCGACACCGAGTTAAGGCTCTTTGCTCTAACATTCCTAGCTCAAGGCCTTGATTACCATATTATTTTTTTCTTCATTGTTTCGTGTCGGTTCACATTGTTACTGCTATAAACAATCGGTGCTCATATCGCGTTCATACCACAGTCAACAGCAGTTTAAAACGGATGTTTTTCGGTAAACAGTGCTATTTCATCGTGTGATGACTGTCTTTGAATACTTTATTAAATATCCGTGATTTGTTTTGGAAGGACCAACAAACCGGGTAGGTGACTGTTTTTTTTACCTGTGTTTACAAGCAGACGACGGAATCTGTTTTCGGGCGTGTTCTATTGTCACGGCGTGCTGGCGGTCGTGTCGCGGCCTACATAGATAAGACGTGGAGCGTTTCCTGGTCTGCGGCGCGGTAGATACAAACGTTGGCGTGTGCGGGCTCGGATTGTTCTTCCTCGTGTGCTGCGACACAGGTGTCGTTACGCTGAGCTAACGGATGTGTTTTCACAACATTGGGACGTCGTGACGGTTGGTTAAACAATTTTTACTTCCTGAGCAAGTGGAGCGGACACTAGCCGAGACCTCAGCCCTCGCCGAGACCTCAGCCCTCCAGCCGTCCTCCCATCTTTTCTGATGCTCGCGGACAGCCAAGGTCGCACGTTCCGGATCGTTGCCCGTCCTGCCCCAGGCGTCAAGCGTTTGGGCGTGTCACCATCTGGTCTCTCCGTCATCCTCTCTCCGGTCAAGCGTGACATCGAACTGGATCCCAGCACCACCATCCAGGTAGGCAACATCAGCCACATAAACCACGACAACATCAGCGACATAAACCACGACAACATCAGCCACATAAACCACGGCAACATCAGCCACATAAACCACGACAACACAACATAAACACCACAATCTATAAATAGACTCCCACGTGATCCTGTTGTTGTTCAGTCCATTCACCCAGTCCGATTAATTTGATTTTAATTAGAATTACAATTTATTAAAAAAAACAAGTATTGATCCACTTAAACAGAATAGGTTTAACCTTTAGTGTGTACAACCACACCTTTAGTGTGTACAACCACACCTTTAGTGTGTACAACCACACCATTCATGTGTACAACCACACCATTCATGTGTACAACCACACCTTTAGTGTGTACAACCACACCATTCATGTGTACAACCACACCTTTAGTGTGTACAACCACACCATTAGTGTGTACAACCACACCATTCATGTGTACAACCACACCTTTAGTGTGTACAACCACACCTTTAGTGTGTACAACCACACCTTTAGTGTGTACAACCACACCTTTAGTGTGTACAACCACACCATTCATGTGTACAACCACACCTTTAGTGTGTACAACCACACCTTTAGTGTGTACAACCACACCATTCATGTGTACAACCACACCATTCATGTGTACAACCACACCTTTAGTGTGTACAACCACACCTTTAGTGTGTACAACCACACCTTTAGTGTGTACAACCACACCATTCATGTGTACAACCACACCATTCATGTGTACAACCACACCTTTAGTGTGTACAACCACACCTTTAGTGTGTACAACCACACCTTTAGTGTGTACAACCACACCTTTAGTGTGTACAACCACACCTTTAGTGTGTACAACCACACCTTTAGTGTGTACAACCACACCTTTAGTGTGTACAACCACACCTTTAGTGTGTACAACCACACCTTTAGTGTGTACAACCACACCTTTAGTGTGTACAACCACACCTTTAGTGTGTACAACCACACCATTAGTGTGTACAACCACACCATTAGTGTGTACAACCACACCTTTAGTGTGTACAACCACACCATTCATGTGTACAACCACACCATTCATGTGTACAACCACACCTTTAGTGTGTACAACCACACCTTTAGTGTGTACAACCACACCTTTAGTGTGTACAACCACACCTTTAGTGTGTACAACCACACCTTTAGTGTGTACAACCACACCTTTAGTGTGTACAACCACACCATTCATGTGTACAACCACACCATTAGTGTGTACAACCACACCATTAGTGTGTACAACCACACCATTAGTGTGTACAACCACACCATTAGTGTGTACAACCACACCTTTAGTGTGTACAACCACACCATTAGTGTGTACAACCACACCATTAGTGTGTACAACCACACCTTTAGTGTGTACAACCACACCTTTAGTGTGTACAACCACACCTTTAGTGTGTACAACCACACCTTTAGTGTGTACAACCACACCTTTAGTGTGTACAACCACACCTTTAGTGTGTACAACCACACCATTCATGTGTACAACCACACCTTTAGTGTGTACAACCACACCTTTAGTGTGTACAACCACACCATTCATGTGTACAACCACACCATTCATGTGTACAACCACACCTTTAGTGTGTACAACCACACCTTTAGTGTGTACAACCACACCTTTAGTGTGTACAACCACACCTTTAGTGTGTACAATCACACCTTTAGTGTGTACAACCACACCATTCATGTGTACAACCACACCATTCATGTGTACAACCACACCTTTAGTGTGTACAACCACACCATTCATGTGTACAACCACACCATTCATGTGTACAACCACACCATTAGTGTGTACAACCACACCTTTAGTGTGTACAACCACACCTTTAGTGTGTACAACCACACCTTTAGTGTGTACAACCACACCTTTAGTGTGTACAACCACACCTTTAGTGTGTACAATCACACCTTTAGTGTGTACAACCACACCTTTAGTGTGTACAACCACACCATTCATGTGTACAACCACACCTTTAGTGTGTACAACCACACTTTTAGTGTGTACAACCACACCTTTAGTGTGTACAACCACACCTTTAGTGTGTACAACCACACCTTTAGTGTGTACAATCACACCTTTAGTGTGTACAACCACACCATTCATGTGTACAACCACACCATTCATGTGTACAACCACACCTTTAGTGTGTACAACCACACCTTTAGTGTGTACAACCACACCTTTAGTGTGTACAACCACACCATTCATGTGTACAACCACACCTTTAGTGTGTACAACCACACTTTTAGTGTGTACAACCACACCTTTAGTGTGTACAACCACACCTTTAGTGTGTACAACCACACCTTTAGTGTGTACAATCACACCTTTAGTGTGTACAACCACACCTTTAGTGTGTACAACCACACCATTCATGTGTACAACCACACCATTCATGTGTACAACCACACCTTTAGTGTGTACAACCACACCTTTAGTGTGTACAATCACACCTTTAGTGTGTACAACCACACCTTTAGTGTGTACAACCACACCTTTAGTGTGTACAACCACACCATTCATGTGTACAACCACACCATTCATGTGTACAACCACACCTTTAGTGTGTACAACCACACCTTTAGTGTGTACAACCACACCTTTAGTGTGTACAACCACACCATTCATGTGTACAACCACACCTTTAGTGTGTACAACCACACCATTCATGTGTACAACCACACCTTTAGTGTGTACAACCACACCATTCATGTGTACAACCACACCTTTAGTGTGTACAACCACACCTTTAGTGTGTACAACCACACCATTAGTGTGTACAACCACACCTTTAGTGTGTACAACCACACCTTTAGTGTGTACAACCACACCTTTAGTGTGTACAACCACACCATTCATGTGTACAACCACACCTTTAGTGTGTACAACCACACCTTTAGTGTGTACAACCACACCTTTAGTGTGTACAACCACACCATTAGTGTGTACAACCACACCTTTAGTGTGTACAACCACACCATTCATGTGTACAACCACACCATTCATGTGTACAACCACACCTTTAGTGTGTACAACCACACCTTTAGTGTGTACAACCACACCATTCATGTGTACAACCACACCTTTAGTGTGTACAACCACACCATTAGTGTGTACAACCACACCTTTAGTGTGTACAACCACACCTTTAGTGTGTACAACCACACCTTTAGTGTGTACAACCACACCTTTAGTGTGTACAACCACACCTTTAGTGTGTACAACCACACCATTCATGTGTACAACCACACCATTTGTGTGTACAACCACACCTTTAGTGTGTACAACCACACCATTCATGTGTACAACCACACCTTTTGTGTGTACAACCACACCTTTAGTGTGTACAACCACACCTTTAGTGTGTACAACCACACCATTTGTGTGTACAACCACACCTTTAGTGTGTACAACCACACCATTCATGTGTACAACCACACCTTTAGTGTGTACAACCACACCTTTAGTGTGTACAACCACACCTTTAGTGTGTACAACCACACCATTCATGTGTACAACCACACCATTTGTGTGTACAACCACACCTTTAGTGTGTACAACCACACCATTCATGTGTACAACCACACCTTTAGTGTGTACAACCACACCTTTAGTGTGTACAACCACACCTTTAGTGTGTACAACCACACCTTTTGTGTGTACAACCACACCTTTAGTGTGTACAACCACACCATTCATGTGTACAACCACACCATTCATGTGTACAACCACACCTTTAGTGTGTACAACCACACCATTCATGTGTACAACCACACCTTTAGTGTGTACAACCACACCTTTAGTGTGTACAACCACACCTTTAGTGTGTACAACCACACCTTTAGTGTGTACAACCACACCTTTAGTGTGTACAACCACACCTTTAGTGTGTACAACCACACCTTTAGTGTGTACAACCACACCATTAGTGTGTACAACCACACCATTAGTGTGTACAACCACACCATTAGTGTGTACAACCACACCATTAGTGTGTACAACCACACCATTAGTGTGTACAACCACACCATTAGTGTGTACAACCACACCTTTAGTGTGTACAACCACACCTTTAGTGTGTACAACCACACTATTCATGTGTACAACCACACCTTTAGTGTGTACAACCACACCTTTAGTGTGTACAACCACACCTTTAGTGTGTACAACCACACCATTAGTGTGTGCATCCACACTTTTAGTGTGTGCAAGTTTGTGTTTTTAGTTACTGTAACAATTCTTATACATTTTAATGTTACTTAATTATAATCCCCATGTATTTATAATTAACTGAAAATTGAGCACTCCCATCTGTGTACTCACCTAATGTACTCACCATGTGTATGTCTTTGTTTAGTCGACACTCCGCTAGTTACATATACTTTATACTCTGATCATTATACGGTATAAGCGATTTAAAATTTGAGAAGCTCTGTCTTTCTGTATAAACTCACCACTATGTTCCCATACACCTCTGCCCATAATACCAGATACAAAATATAGTTACTACAATATAAATACCCATAACATTAGATCCAACATACAGTTCCTACAACACCTGCCCATAAAACCTCACGTTTGTGTTACAAAAAATAGCTACTACATCTATATTTTAACTGGAATAGACGTATAGTTTACGTTTGTCAAATAATTCCTTCTTTATGTAACCTACCAATAATCTTGTCTTTATGCATGAAACTTCGTTGATATTTAGAAAACATTTTAAATGTTTATTGAATGTCTTAACACACACAATCTTTGATACATGTCAAAGTTTGACAAACACAATCTTTGATACATGTCAAAGTTTGACAAACACAATCTTTGATACATGTCAACGTTTGACAAACACAATCTTTGATACACGTGAAAGTTTGATAAACACAATCTTTGATACATATCAGAGTTTGACAAACACAATCTTTGATAGGCCTACATGTCAAAGTTTGA